AAAAAAAAAAAAAAAAAAGAACTGAGTGCCTAACATCCTCAGGAACTGGGAGAAATGTTTTCTTTGGAGCAGCCCCAAGACAACCCATGAGCACATCTCTGTCAGTTTAATGCTCTCTCCCTGGCATGCTGAAGGGCCCTTTTCCTCATGCCGAGCCACTGCCCCAAGGACTCCTACCTTGTCCACAACCTTGAAGGTTATCTCTATGGGCCCAGTGCCACCAAAGTAGTCTGGGAATCCAGAGGAAGTGGATATCCCCTCAGCCAGGGTTTCTAAATCCTCTCGTCATGGGCTCTTTACTTACTTGCAGTTGTTTCTGCTTCTTCAAGCGTTCGACTCGATTTCCTGGCGCAGTCCTAGCTTGTGCGTGGGGAACAACACTGGCAAGATGAGGCTGCAGCCTGGGAACAAAGTGAAACGTGCGGATGGGTTTTATTAGTATTAATGTGCCTTGTTAAATAAAGCAAATGAATGCTTTATGAAACACTCGGGCAGTTTTATTAAAAAAGAAAACGAAGCTTTAACCACCTGGAAAAGGTCCCATTCCATGAGCGCCTAGGGTTGCGTAGAACACAATCAATTCATAAAGCCTTAACCTGGTCTACGCCAGTGTGTCCATGTACGGAAATCAGTGGGTTGCGTGAGTTTCAATGAGAAAAGCATCTTTTTGTTTGCACTAGTTTATACCTGAAATTTAGAATTTCCTTCAATTTTTAATATAAGCAATAACCCAGTACCACCACTGAAGTGTCTGTGATTTTGTGACCAAGAAAAATCACATGTATTTTATATAATATTAAAGTTGTTAGCATATATCTAGAAATATTGTTCACACTCAATGTAGTTTAGAAGATTGGGTAATTCTTAATCATAAAACACACATAATATTATGATTTTAAAATGTTTTCATAAATATATATCAAATATATTAGGTTTTTTTGTAATCCTATTATTTTATTTTATACATTTGAAAATATTATTCTGAGGGAAATAGGCTTCACCAGAATGCCAAAGGGACCCATGAAACAAAAAAAATTTTAATATTTTATTTTAGGTCATGCTCCAATGGGTAACATAGGCCAAGAGCTAGGCCATTCAACCTCAAAGAGCTGGGTCAGTGTCTATGATCAAATTATTAGTCACCAGGGTAGATGAGAGTAGGATGGGAAGGGAGGGGAATAGGAGAGGGAGAGCCAGAGCCAAGGTCAAGAGATTTCATCCCCTCAAAGCAGACATGTTCCAATATTTTCTGATTACACATACACACACACACACACACACACACACACTGGACAAGATGGTCTCTGGGTTCTGCTTTGATATTTATGTAAGTCTGCTTTTCACTGCTTTTGTCTTACTCTGAGTAGATAGTTGTTTCTAAATAAGGGATTATGCTAAAATAATGGAAGTATTTTTAGAACTCCTTTATTTATTGATGTCACCTTTATCTCAGTGTGATCAGGGTTTGTTGGGAATTGTCCAGTACAGTATATATAGGGTCAAAGATAAAGATTCTCTCCATTGCTTTTGCAAGCAGAGCATCCTGTTCTTATCTGATCACTAAATTAACAGCATAACGTGTTGAAGAGCTTCCAGGCCTGTATATGCCTGGGCGCACTGGGGACTGGGGAAGGGGTTACGGGTGTATCTGGGACACAGGTCCCTCAGCCTTGAATTGGCAGGGTGTGGCAGAGCTCATGGGCCTGTTGTCTCTGCCTGGAACAACTTTGTCCCTTTATTACACTGCCTGGTACAAATATCATTTTCTAGGTGTGCCATGATGTGAAAAATTTAGGAAGTACTAGCCTATTAAGTAATAGGAAATCATCTTCCAAAATCTAAAACTGGCAGCTTCAGAGTCAATTGAAGCCATAAGATGCTCTTCATTTGAAGAGCCTCTTCCTTTGTGGCTCAGTTGGTTGGCATCCCCCCGTACACCGAAAGGCTCCTGGTTCAATTCCCCGTCAGGGCACATGCCCTGTTGTGGGTCGCTACAGGCTGGATCCTGGTAGGGGGCGTGCAGNGGAGCCTCTTCCTTTGTGGCTCAGTTGGTTGGCATCCCCCCCGTACACCGAAAGGCTCCTGGTTCAATTCCCCGTCAGGGCATATGCCCTGTTGTGGGTCGCTACAGGCTGGATCCTGGTAGGGGGCGTGCAGCAGGCAGCTGACTGATGTTCAGCTCTCACATCGATGTTTCTCTCTCCCTCTCCCTTCCTCTCTCTCTAAAGTAAATCAGTAAAATAATAGTTTCTTAAAATGTTGAATTTGAGTATCTTTGGGAAAGACAGGAACTCCCCCTTTTGCCACAGGCACCCCACTTCCTGCAGTCAAGCATGTAGAAATATTCTCAGCTGGTTCTGTTCACAACTTTGGTTAGGGGCAAGGTTTCCCCTACAGTCCCCCATCCTCCCACATGGTGCCTGAGGTCACCTGTTCTCACCCCAGGGCTGTGGAATGCATACTGCCCTCAGGTGATAGTGACCGCTCATCTCAGTCCCTTCCTTCCTTCCTTCCTTCCTTCCTTCCTTCCTTCCTTCCTTCCTTCCTTCCTTCCTTCCTTCCTTCCTTCCTTCCTTCCTTCCCGGCTCTCCTGATGGGGGTTCTATTCCTTGCTCCTATTCTGAGCACCCCCAAACCCTCCACTCCATCTCTGCTTTGTCTTCTCCCAGCCCCAGCCCCAGCCCAGCAGGAAGCCTCACTCTGCAAGCTGCATCCCAGCCTCCTCTCTTGCACTTGCCCCCAGCCCCTGGCGTTTTTGTTGCTGGAGAAGGAAGCAGATAGGACATCACGTTAAAAATATACAGCTTTCTACTGTGTGACATTTCTGAATAAATGAAATAAGAAAACCACAGGACCTACAAAAATCATAAAATGTTATTGAACATAAAGTAAGATTTGAATAAATGAAAAGACTTCCTGTGTCCTTGGGTGGGAAGTCTAGATGCCATTAAAAAGTCAATTTTCCCCAAATGATATATATATGCAATACAATTGCAATTAGGATCCCAACAGAGATTTTTTTTTTTAATTGTAATTAGATATGTTCATATGAATGAATATTGCCCAAGTATAGCCAAATACATTATGAAAAGGAAAACATAGTTGTATAAAGAGAGAACAGAAGCAAACTATTAATATCTCTATAACTTAGGCGGTGGATACAAAAGCATATCACTATTATTATCTGTATCATTACTTTATGAAATATAAAAATGTTTCATAATTTAAAATAAAAAGTTAAAAGACTGTGTAATAGGAATATGAAATATGTTCAGCTGCATATTTTAAGAACCTGAAATGAGTGGCTTAAAAAATAAAACATTCTCTCATCCGTAAAATAAGTCCAAAAGTAGAGAGTTGAGAGCTTGTGTGGTGGCTTCCAGGGCCATCAGGGACCTGGGCTCTTTTCTCTTACTGCTCTACAATCTTAGCACATGGCATCCATCTTCAAGACCATCCTCTGGCATCAGCCATCATTTCTAAGTCCAAGTGTCAGGAAAGAAAGGGAGGAACCTTCACTGAAACACAAAACTTTTGCCCAGGCCTCGAGAAGTAATTAGTCACATGTGTACACCTAAGGGCTACAGAGGCTGAGACACGTGCCCTGCTAAACATTTATCTATTTTCTTCTCATGATACCTAGGCGTGTTTTTGGGATGTTATTTGGCGTTATGGGAAGAAAATGAAAGGCTTAGGGGAACTTAGTGAAAATGTTAACAGAGGAGTAAAAAAAAAACTAAACAATTTTAAAATGCTCAATAAAAGTTTTCCATTGTACATGTAAGGGAAGGAAGGAAGCCTTTTAGTATCAAATCATTCATAGATGACAAGTTATTTTTACGGAAATAACAATGAGGAAGCTTGGTTGCCAAATAGTGATTTTACTCTCAGGACCCTGAGAAAAGAATCATTTGTTTATGAGAAAGGCTACACCTGGACCTCAGCACAGGTATGCTTTTCTTACTCTGAAGAGTTTTAAAATATGTGAATCAACTGCTATAACTTTTTTTAAAAAACTCATATTTCAGATGCTTGTGTAAAATCTCATTTTGAAAAATGCAACCAGCTGTCACATCTCCCAGATGGAAACTGAGAGGGTGTATTTGAAACAGGATCAGCTGACATTTACCCTCTCCATTCGGGCACTTAAAATCTATTGTCATCAAGGTCTACCTTTACAAATATAATTTTCAGAATGACATTGTGGCGTTCTAAATCAAATGAGGAGAACTTTCAGTTAGAATTCTTGAGTCTCCAGCTGGGATGAGTGTGGGAGGCAACCAATCGATGTGTCTCTCTCACGTAGATGTCTCTCTCTTTCTCTACCCCCCCTTCTCTCCCTCCCTTCCACTTTCTCTAAAAATCAATGGAAAAAATATCCTTGCATTAGGATTAACAACAACAACAACAACAGAAAGGTGTGCATCCCACAGCTGCTCGATAATGTATCATTACAGCAGCGCTCGGAGTTTACAGGAATTCTGTCTTTGGAAGCGCCCGTAATCCTTCTGTGCATCTTTTCTTTTTCAGTATAATCAAGTGTATAAGAACCTCAAGGAGTTTTCTCAAAATGGAGAGAATTTCTGCAAGCAGGTCACATCCATTCTTCAGCAAAGGTACGAAACGTGCGTTTGCAATAAGCTGCAGTTCCTCCTCTGTAGCTGCGGCGAGTGCTCGGCCTGGAGGAGCGATTACAAGCTGTCCTTTCCAAACGCAGGGTTATATTTTGGTGCTTGAGAGATTGGCTTGAAGAGCTATCCTACTCTATTGCACATTTATCACTCAGGTACCATAAAAATCAGAAAACAGCAGGAAGTAATTCTGCTTGGGAAAGTCCAGTCAAATCTCCTCGGATCCTGCAGACTGTCTGTCACCCCCTGCCGAGGCCCGCGTTCCTCCCGCCCGCCCGCAGGTGCCATTGTTGTGCTCACGGTGACAGCAATTAGCAGGTGACGGATCTGCCTCCCGGCGAGGGCGGGCAGTGTCTTACTCGCCTTTGCATGCTGAGCTCTTGCAGCCTGGTTGGCCGACTTCTTCAGTAAATGCCCAGTGAATGATTAGAAAAGTCATTCTAATCATCCGTCCACCTAATGGATGAAATAAAAGTGGCCATTTTCAGTATCTTAGTCTTTAATACTAGATGTGATCATGGATAGGGCTGTTCACTATGCTGAAATGAGCACAATGAACTCAGCCAAGAAGTTACAAAGATTTCTGCTTAAAATTTGAGAACCTGGGGACTGAATTGGGCCATAAAGACATAGGCCGTTTTCCTGCCTCTAGAAAGCTCTGTAATAAACCACTCTAAATAGACCCTCACACTAGATTACTTATCCTTTTTGAGGTAACCCATTCCATGTTTCAGTGACTGCCTGTGGGCCGTGAGAACAGACACGTGGGCTGATTGCTTCCTGCACTAGTAGGTCCAGAACAAAGGAAAACAGTCACTTTGTCAGGACTAAGGGAAGGTGCAGGGGAGCTCCAAGAGGCTGTCACAAAGAATCAGGTTTGTCAAATGAAGTCGAAAAGAGACAAATTTAAAGCAAGATGTTACTTCTGTCTTAATAGCCAAGTAGCTTTGATTCTAAGAGAGGAATAGGAGGGCCAATCTGGGAGAGCATTTCTTCTTTAAGAAAGTATTTTTATCAGTCTCGAAGGAGATTATTTAAAATAAGACCAGTTAACTATTGCACAAGTTCAACCCATTGCCTGGGTTAGAGAGTGCCTCCCTCCTGCAGATGAGGTAGAATCTGTACCCGTTCTTAGCTATGCACCTGACCTGGGCTGCAGTCATCTGGTCCTTGATTTTTTGCTGTTCCTGTGTTCAAAATTCGTGCCCGGTAGAGAGCTGCAAAGACAGAAGGCAAGTGACAAATTATGCCTGGCAAATAGACTCAACAATAAACTGAATACATTTGGGGGAATCACTACTCCAAAACTGTCTTGCCCAGATCGCTCTGCATCTCCACGTTCTGGAGTCAGAACGTTCTTTCTTACCCGTATCTCTATTGCAACTGCTGAGGGTTATGACATAGAAAATCATAAAGGCACATCCGGTAGCTAGCTTCATGAAAGATAAAGGGCCTCCTGGAATTAAGGTACCTGCCAAGTGAAATAGATTCAGTAAAGACTTGTACCTTGAATGAATAAATAAATGAAAGATGGTTAAGGGTTTACTTTCTTATATTACAGCCACAGTGTTAGAACAAGGTCTTTACTGTCCTTGGAACATGGCTCTGCAGAGCAGCTCTGTATCAGCGCTGGCTATAGGAGACAGCGTCACAAGCAAGCTGCGAGTGCAGAGAATGTTTTCTTTCCAAGCTCAGCTGCCTTCTTGCATTTGTTCTAATTGGTGGTGCTAGAAAATTACAGTTGTTATTGAAACACCATTTTTTCCGGGAAATTCTGCAATTCATGGTCATGCTTAGCTTCTTTTATCCAATTAGTTGCTACAGTTTCCTTTTTTACAGTTGCAACTCAGATTTATCCAGAGACTAAGGTGCCTCATGACAAAGTCATCGGGTTTCACGTTAACACAATTACAGATCCAATTTTAAAAGACAAAGACACATTCCCAGAAACCACTTATGAGTGTCTGGTTCCCTGCACTTTCACAGCTAATGTTAAAACAGGCTTTGATGGGAAAATCAATTGTTCCTTTGCAAGCAAGCTTAAGATCAGGTTTTCAAATGGCAGGTACCACTGGTGTGGACAGACAAACAGACAGGAGGAAGGGAGGAAAAAGGAAAACAAAGACGAAAGTGCAGTTGGTTGTTGTTTCAGCCATGATCCATTGCAGATGCTGTCAACAAAGGAATAAATGACTAAAATAAAATCTTTGGTAAGGCCTCCCCTTTTCTACTCTAGCCACAGCCTGGGTGATCTTAATTCCCACAGCTTCAGCTCTTTTCTGCATACTCATGACTCTTGCAGGTGTATTACTAGACAATATATCTTATCTGTACTTCAAACCACATATCCACAGTCTATTGGACATTCCCACCTGTGTGTCCCATGAAATCACAAAGTCAGCCTATCCAAAACAGTCTCTTAGGCTTTCCCCCGAAGCTGGTACTCATGGATTTTTTATTTTTCTTTACCATGGAGACCAAGACCACTGCCCACCCAATCAAGCCCAATACCTGGGAGCCACCCATGACCCCTCCTTTTATCTCAATTTATGACCAAGTCATCATATTGCTTTCTTCTAAACACCTCTTATACCTTATAGCTTTCTTTTCATTTCATTGCCTCTGCCATTATTCTGGCAAAAATCTCTTAATCCCTTCTTCTGTCCCGGGGCACTGCACAAAGGCACCTGGAAGAGGGGCTGAGTGAAGGCAGGAATTAAAACCACTCTCTATCCCCGAGTCTTGCACCCTGGCTCAGGGCTGTGTCCCTTCACAGAACCTTCTGTCTCTAATCCAAGCAAAGTTGCCTCAAGCAGGGGCCCTATCTCTGTCTCTAATTCATCTTCCACTCTATGGCCATGACCCTGTTTAAGACTCTTCAAAGACTTCCATCACCTTCAGTATAAAACTGAGCTTCCATAGTATTCTATAAAAGAGATCTGGGTCTTTGCTTCATGTCAAGCTTGTCTCTCTCTCTCCATCTCCCCATGATGCATGTTCCTCTCCAACTTACTGAATCACTTGCAGTCACCCCTAATGAGTGCCTGCCACCCCTCCCACACACTCCTACCCCCCATCATGGGTCCCTGCATCCGTGCAGGTTATGTCCTCTGCCTTGTGGTCACGTCTTCACCTTCAGTGCCAGGCTCCAGTAAACGCCATCCCCTTCTAGCGGGCCTACATTGACTCCAGTCCCCAGTCTCAAAAAAGTGCTCCTCAGAGACGTGGGGAGCTGGTGCTTACCTCTGACATGGCTCTCCTGCCCTACACTGTTGTTCTCTGTCTGGCACAGAGCAGGCAGGTGCTCAATAGAGATGTTCATTGAATGAATTAATGTATGAGTGACTGTACCTTCAGGCACTCATAGCTTTTAAGATGCTCAAGTTAGCTTATTTCTGAAGAGCAATAAATGAGTGTCAGAGAAATTTACTTACATAGTGTATAGAATATTATTTTGAACAGAAGCTGAAAAAGAATAATAAAACCACAGAAAAGACCATTTATCCAGCACTATCTATAGATCAGCCACTGTATTAGATGTGTCTTATAGTTAGTCTTTTTTTACTTTAATTCTCACAATCCAGTGCAGTACAAATGTACTCTCATTTATTCCTAATTTACAGATGGGGATATGGATGAGATGATACATTTTGATTTCTACTAAGCCCAACCCAGGCTCTCTATAAGGGCATCTTCCAAGTAGAGAGGCAGTATGGGGCAGTGCTGTGGGAGTCCCATCACTCTCAGGGGGGCCTTTTAAGGTCCTCTGTGGGTAGGGACATCAGCAGTTATCAAGCCCAGTGGCTTTTATTTTATTTTATTAAAATATATCTTTATTGATTTCAGAGAGAGGAAAGGAGAGGGAGAGAGAGATAGAAACATCAGTGATGAGAGAGTCATTGATCGGCTGCAGCCCGCAACCCGGGCATGTGCCCCGACCGGGAATCGAACCCTGATCGCCTGGATCCTAGGTCGATGCTTAACCTCTGAGCCACGCCTGGCCGGGCAAGCCCAGTGGCTTTTAAACTTGGTAGCACACCTGTCTGTGGGGAGCCCTTGGTCCCACTTAATTAGAACATAGTATTTATACAATATGGTGGGTTCTGTATAAAATTTGGTTTTCTAGCTAAGAAGTTTTGAAAACTACCCTTTTTGTCCATTTTACCTGAAACTTCCCCCAACTCCTTTTATAAACTCACTCAGCCCGGGAATTAGCAGACACAGAGGATCTGAAGTTTTAGAGCTACCACAGAGGTCCATTCCCTGAGCTAGAAGTGAGCAGTGACTCAGTGGGAGTCTCAGACTGGACCCCCAAGAAGGGTGTCCTCCTTGTCTCACCCTCCTATTTCGTCTTCTTTTATATTGTTCTCTGGAACCAGAACTGAGACCATCAGTAATGACGAAGTGGGTGTTATGGGCCAGCCAGAGAACCCAGATGCTCATATAACAGAGCTTCCATGTAAAAATGTCTCTCAAGTTGCTAGCAACTAGCTTTTTAACATAGCCTGTTTATAAGATGAGCTTATGCTGCTCTTTCAAAAACAAACTGATAAAGCTTGGGTGGAAAACATCAGCATACCAGGCCCCCAACCAGAAGCGGTTGCTAGTGGAAATTAGGAGGCCAGAGATGGGGGTGATATTGCAAACAAAGATTTTCGTATTACTAAAATTCCTTCTTAATTCATACTAAAGGGAGGGTTCTGTCACCTGCTGTTTTCAAGCTTGAGAGAGCCTTAGTTCCATTTTATTCATTTATTTTTTTAATTTTATTTTTTAATTACAGTTAACATTCAGTATCATTTTACATTAGTTCCAGGTGTACAGCAGAGTGGTTAAACAATCGTATGGTTTGCAAAGTGATTCCTCCCCACCACCACATTTCAAGTACCCACCTGGCACCACATGTAGTTATTACGGTACTATTGACTATATTCCCTATGCTGTACTTTACATCTCATGACTACTTTGTAATTACCAATCTGCAGTTTTTAATCCCTTTATTTTTTTCACCCAGTCCCCAACCCTCCCCTCTGGCAATCATCAGTCTCTTCTCTGTATCTATGAATCTCTGTTTTGTTTGTTCATTTACTTTGCTCTTTAGATTCCACATATAAGTGAAATGATATGATATTTGTCTTTCTCTGTCTGACTAATATCATTTAGTATAATACCCTCTAGGTCTATCTATGCTGTTGTAAATGGTAAGATTTCATTCTTTTTTTATGGCCAAATAATATTCCACTATCTATATGTACCACAACTTTTTTATCTACTCATCTACTGATGGGCACTTGGGTTGCTTCCATATCCTGGCTATTGTAAATAACACTGCAGTGACATATAGTGGTGCATATCTCTTTTAATTAATTCCTTGTAGACACAGGGACCAGCTATAGTTTATTGTTTTTTACCACTTTTTAAAATCTTAATTTTATTAGAGCAGGAAACTCTAAAATTGATTACACGGTCATTTATATTCTTACAGTTTAATTTGCAGTCTACCTAAAATATTGAATCTGATACCACTTATTTTCCATCTCTCCTTTCTTTCAAAAGTATAATTTATTTTAAATTCTAAGACAAATGTGGGTCTTTGACTTATTGGTTGGTCTTCATTATTACTAATGAAAATTTATTAACCTGCCTCCACTTGCTAAGAGGAAATCAGAACATAAATGGATTAAAAGTCAGTGCATGCCATTTCTCTGGACCAGGATCCTTAAAACTCACTGGGATATTCTGCTATTGAATTGCCCATCAGAAGATATATACCTCATCAGTTTCACATGCACCAAGACAACCGCTTGGAGAGGGAATCTCAACTCCTATTAGGTAGTTATAGGGCCAGAACATTAAGCACAATGTTCTTACAAGCATGTTTCTGATTATTTTAATGAGGGAATGAAGATTCTAGGTCTCAGTTTGAAATTAGCTCTGCCTCTCTTGACTCCCTTTGCATGTGATAACTCTTAGGCTGGAAACCACGATAAAGCAGCTCCCTTCAAAGGACCGAGAGGTTGGGGGGAGGCGGCGGAGGAGGCTGCGCATTGCCACCTCTGCCCTGGGAAAACACAGCAGTCCGTTCATTTCTGTTTAGCAAGAATTCTGAAAAGATATATAGACATACTGTTTTATTAGACCATAAACACAGACGAGCCGCATGGCAGTGTTTGTTCAATTTACAAACATTCTGACTTGTAAAAATGACAGCTCTCTCTATGCCTGCCAGTTGGAACATAACTTCTTAGAACCAATTTCTCCAGGGAAAAATTTAGCCATTAACGTCTGTTAAGATAAAGACTATTCAGGGCCAGAGGTCTGGGAACCGTTCGTCTATAGGCGAACTCTCCAGAAAGGGGCCCAGCCACAGCGCC